TTTTTTAATCAATCGGTCTCCGATTGTTCAAACAAATCTCATTGTTTATGCATTCTACCGGGCTTGAGATTTGCGATTCGAAAACGATCAATCCAATTGATTGAATGTCAAACAACTTACGACCGGCATCATAAGCCTATAAAAATGCGCATATAATATGATGAAATTCCCTCTTTTTTGTGAATCATAAGTTATGATTCATAACGACTAATTAATTTGTATCGTGGTTTTTGTGTTGCAAAGATGGGCCGAAATCAAGGAAAAATCGCACGAGATGGCTTGACCAATGGTATCGAGGTCCGAGCCATGAAAATACGGCTACATCAAGCGTTATTAGCGAGGCAATCATATCGACCTGCCAGTTGAATTCCTCACGATGATTCGGCAGCATCAGTCTAATTTGGCTGGGTCGTAGCGAAATGCGTTTAACTACCTATGCCAGGGATACGAAACCAATGTAGAGAACAACGCACGATCGTGGTACATGACGCAGATGAGGGGCTTTTTGCGTATGCGATGCTCTATGAGTTCAATCACGGCCACGGTTGAGAAATCGAAAACCAGCAAATATCGGCCTTTTCGACGAAACTGACGTGAAGAACATAACAAAGTTTCTCATTAGGGGGTCAAAAAAATCAATTTTATCTAGTGTAAAATCATGAAATCATTCTTCAAAATTCAATGATGGATCAAATAAATCGATCCTATCTAGTGTGAAATGTTCCCTTCGGAGCAACAGTGAGGAGCAGAAAAACAAGGTCCTCACTTTTGAAAACAAAGTCGAAAAATTTCGATGGGTTCAAAATTTTTTGTGGGGTGACCCCCCAGCAGGGGTCAAAATAAAGGAGACCAGACTATTTCAGAATCTATGGCTGAAATAGCTGAAATAGCTAACCAGTGGCAAGCCTGAAAATGTTTTGGACGTTTCGATTCACGAACCAAACGAAATCGATTCAAAGTTTGCCGACCGTGCTATCTGGAAGGGTGTGACGGTTATATATTGCCAAACAAAATCATGACCACATTAAGTAGCCGAGAACTGTAGAAAGCACGCAAATAGCAACAGAATATCAACAACAATCAGACACGCAGATACGTATTGCAGCAAATCCGACTCGACTAGCTAAAACACGTTTGGTGACAAAACTTGTCAAATGCTATGAATGTCATTCAGATGAAGTTGGTAACTTGGAGTGATATGCCTGGCACATAGATCAGAATGTGTTATGATTGTATCTATGGTCAAACGTAATCCCACATTTAACCTTGAACATATACCTGAATTCGGACATATGTTTAATAATTGTTACTCGGAATGAATTTATCGTCAAAATCCAGCGAAAAAATAGCATTTTACCAGGACCAGAACGTTAAAAAAACGAGAAACGATGCAATTTGCAAACATTTGGCCGGAGGTGTATATGAAAAAGATATCACATTACCACCGCGGGTATAAAGCAGCAACCATAATAACAAGCAATTTCATCGTAAACAACTCCCATAATCTTATGAATATATTAGTAATTTTATTACAGTGTATTGATTTTGCCCGAAAATAATCCTGAAACGTTTGTTTTCTATTATTTCTTCTTAAAAAGTAGCTTGAACAAAGCTTTAATGCAAAAGTTTCAATTTCCAATTATTCAGACCTTTTTTCACCATTTTCGCTTTAGAGGTAGAGAAATAGTTCTGTGAATCAACTTGAAATTTATGTAGATTAGTTCTCCCTTTAGAAAAAAAGAGCCTCAGCAATAAATGTTCGGAAAAATTCATTCGAAATAGTATATAGGAAATACGTCAATTTGTGGGCATTCTTAACAGAGAAAAATCTATAAAATTGTATGAAAATAATTGAGAAATTCCTTGTATACTCTTTTCTCTGCCGTAAAAATAATTTCCATCCAGAAATACAACCATTTAAAATTTAAATGCGTTTCAAGCAAAATCACTCAGAAACAAGAAAGTTCACATTCTTGCTCTACGCCACGCGTAGAGTATTTTAGAACCCACGAAAGAACTCATTTTGGGTCTAGTTTGTCATTGCATATCAAACTATAATTGAGCCGTTACATGAAATGTACTACATCACAATGTATGGATGGATTAGATAGATAGCATACAGAGTAGAATAAAGTTCAGGTCTAGGAAGCTAAGTTTCTGTATTAAATTTAATGCTACCACAATAACCAATACATCATAATGTATGGAAATGAAAATGTTCAAGTATCGTATTGGTAATAACGTTTTAATCTAAATTTGTAGTTAGTCACAGATAATAATTAAACATAAAAACAGAATCTGTTTTGGAATTGAAAAATCCAAAGTTTTAGACCCCCATGGAGAAAAGAAAAACGAAGTTGTACCTTTCACATTTAATGTACATTTCACAATGTACGTTTCATGTAACTGTAAAAAAACCGAAAATACGTCTAATTTGATTTTTGTTCGAAGAATTGTCGATTTGAGACCAAAATAATGAGAACGTGAGGGTTCCGTTGTTCGGGGGGGGCGCCCCCCCCCCCATTATTGTTGAAAAATAATAGCAGTTTTTAATGAAAACTCCGAAAAATGCATTTTTGAGGTATCCCTATACAAATTAATCATTTTTGGAGGTTTTTCTCAAGGCAAGTACCACAAGGTTAAATCAAAAATGGCTCATCTTCGTACTTAAATTATTTTTTTTAGTTTTTTCTGAATACAAAAATATTAGGAATTACAGATTTTGATTATATTTTATGTCGATTATATTCTAAGTTATCGTGTTAACAAACACCAACACGGTGGCACACGAACGGAAAAGTGTCTTAAAAACGTATTTTCATGAGGTTTTATGGCGATCTAAACTAATTGTGTTGAGAAAATTTCGGAACCAATTCCTATACTTTCCCTTGAGACTATGTATACGGAACAGTAAAATTCCAATTTTCTCTGAACGATAAATGGAACTTGAATGAAATTCTTCTGAAACAGAGAGATGGCGGTATCCTTTCTCCATCATATGAATGTGTCGTGTCGTGTAGCATGAGGAAAAGATTAAATTTGAAAGCTTTCGCATAGTTATTCAATTAATGACTCATAATACCGACGCTTTTCGTGCACATTCGGAGACGAAACCTCAGCAGTTTTCTTTCTAGACACAGTGATACAATATGATTGTTTAGAAGAAGAATTCGTTTTTTTTTCGCGTGAGTTAATTGCTCATTTTTGTGAATTTATTTGGTTTGAAAAACCCAGCACAAAATTTGTCTTTGTACCATAATCAAAAGGCTAACTTAAACATTACTATCCCGACGGTATCTTATTATCTTGGACACCTTAAATATTAAATTTTTGCACGCCAATATATATATTTATATATAACTGAATGTTTGTCTGACTGTGCGTCTGTTGCGAGAATTTGATCACTTTTTACCGTTACATGAAATCCACATTGCAACATTGTACAATAGGGTGTTTTCGGTATTAAATAAACTATGCATTATTTTAAGAAATTTTTAGAGCTGCCCATTTTCAAGAAAATTTAAGTAAAACACTGCCCATTTTTGAGTTTTGAGCTGTCCATTTGGGATTTAGAACTGCCCAAATGGGCAAGAGCTGCCCATTAAAATAATGCATGGAATAAACAGAAAATGGTAGTTTTAGTTTGATAGAGCAGAGAATTTGGAATCGATTTCATATATTTTTTTTCGGAATCAGTCCAAGATGCCACTTCCCACAAACAAAACAAATGTTCGTCGAATTTTGAGTTTATATCACTATTCGCTGAAACTAATCTGATATTTTCCACTTTTTTCGATTCAATCTCACTGCCAGAGATGAAATCTCAATGCAAACATTTATTTTCACGTAATTTCCATTGGAAAAAGTGGCCAAATAGTCGAAAATTCACAAAAATTTTAATGCTTCTTTGACCGGTTCTTCAATCATAGAAAAAACACCGACAAACTCATTTTTTTCCCAAAAATTCATTCAATGGGTTTGAAATAGACGATAAATTATCTAAATCCACTAAAATATCCAATCGAACAAAACCAGGAAGGCCAAATTGCAGCAAAACCAAAACATAAACAAAAACGAGCTGTCATCATGAAATCTGGGCTTCTTTGATATTTTGAAGGGCTACCAATGCACTTGTGCGAATGAATCACAGTCAATTCGCACACAGTGATTCGCGCAGATGTATTTTGGTCTTGTCAAACATCAAACTAAGCCCGAATTTCATTATAACGAATGATATTCACACTTCCCGGAGCAAAAAGAACTGTCTAATTTGAATTGTCTAATGTTTTCGGAACGCTACCCAGCATCTGCCAAATTCAAACATTTGAAATGACAACCATTCCAACTACTATGTGCCGAACGAACCGTATAAACAAACTTCTAACAAGAACTTCGTTTTGTGTATAATGTGAAACACGTGGAGGAGCGTGATTTTGGCACAAACTTCTCTTTCATCGCATACAACGCAACACAACACAACAGACTCATTTGTTATTGTTATGTTTGTTGCATTTGTTTATTTGATTCCGTTATCCGAGCATGTATTGAGTTTCTATATCGACACCAGTGACAGATACGTGAATTTTATCACGAAATAAAATTTGGCGCATTGACACATTGAAACTGGTTGAGTAAAGTTGTTGCAACCACATAGTGAATTGGTTTATTGTTTATCAGAAAGTGCGTAAATAATTTATTAACTGTTTTGTACTGTATACATCGCTTTTAACCAATTAAATTAATTTTTTGTTTGTTTAATAGTTATTCATCATGGCCCGTGGAGCCTGTGGAGCTCGCGGAAATGGAAGCGATGAGAGGTTTACAACAGTGAAACTGGGACTACGAAGAATCATTCAAGGACCGTATCGGCTGATTTTGTCAACAGTGATTGGGGAAATGAGCATCATGGCAACGCTAATCTCACTCCTAGCATCGCTCTATTTTCTATATCTGGTAAGTTTTTTTTACATTTTGACCATATTGTACGACCATCTTGAACCGATTCGATTCATTCAAATTGAACAAAAAAAACCATTGTTCTTGTTCGGTTAATACGGCAGTCAATGAATTCAACAACGACTTTTTCAACAGCAATGGTGATGAAATCATCAAAATGTGCTTCCAAGGTGTGCTCCGGCAAAACTACACCAATGATCGTATGTTTATGGTCCCAGGTTTCCGGCAAATGGTTATCAAAATTCGCAGCGAATGGTTTCCATGGCCAACGAACAGATTTTTCGGCAATACATTCAAATACCTGTACGAGCAATATGCCACAAACGTCAAGACCAACTATAGAAGTAAAGTAATAAGTAACTTATTACTTATTACTTATTACTTTCATTTAATCACTGTAATAAGATGGACTCATTACTTATTACGAATCTTATTACTTGTAATAAGATGAGTAATAAGTAATAAGTCTATATTATTACTGTAATAAGATAGACTTATTACTTATTACAGTAATAAGATTGTAATTGTAATAAGATTGTAATAAGTATCTTATTACTTTTGGTGTAAAAAAAATGGCAAAAATAGTTTCATGTAAAAAACATGTCAATTTTTTCGACTGACAAAAATTGACATGTTTTTTGTATGAAACTTTTCTTCAAAAAATTCATACAAAAATCATGTCAAAGTTTGTAAGACACATTTTTTTTCAACATTTTTTCGACTGACAAAAATTGACATGTTTTTTACATGAAACTTTTTTTGCACCAAAAGTAATAAGATACTTATTACAATCTTATTACAATAACAATCTTATTACTGTAATAAGATGATCTTATTACTTATTACAATCTTATTACAATCATCTTATTACAATCTTATTACTGTAATAAGATAGACTTATTACTTATTACTCATCTTATTACAAGTAATAAGATGCGTAATAAGTAATAGATCATCTTATTACAGTAATAAGTAGGTAATAAAGTAATTAGAATTACATTTTTTTACTTCTATAAGACCAACCTCAAAACGCATTGCGAACAGCGTTTGAGAAAGTTCTTCAAAATGCGTTGCTACGAATTGAACCACATGTGTCTGTGTGGAGATCTCGAGTTGGACGAATTATTCGATGGTGACGACATCAAAAATGCCATCAGCTACACATACAACCGGAGAGATTCAACGCGTAGCAATGCAAATGCCATACGGAAATTGGAAATACTGTTGGCGGAGCTATATTGGATTGGAGCACCTTACAGACCAGATGATCCACACCCATTCAACATCAAAGAATTCTTTGAACTCAATTGGTTCCAAGCATTGCGCATGTTCGTTAACATACAGCGCGACATTCATTACTTTCACCTCTCGTTTGCCAATCTACGCCAAAGTTGGAATCTGTTCCGAAAATATCCGCTCTATGTGCAAGAGCCAGAATTTCTAGAGCCGCCTGAAATCACCACAGTCATTCCGATACGAATGCATTGTACAATATTTGATGTGGCGTCAAGGCAATGAAGCGAGAAGATGGTTTTCGACCGGTTGAATTTAAAAGAATAGGAAGCTGGCGTTTGTTTTTCAACATGGACGAAATCAACAAGTTAGTCAAGAATAAGAAGGAATTCGGCGATTCGATAATATCAGATGGTGTGTCAGCGTCGGTGTTATTCAGATTGCCGAAACAGAGCAAAACCGTTGTTGATGAAGATGAGGCCGAAACCAAACGCAAATATTTCGCAAACGAATTCGTGTATGCATTGGGAATTGATCCAGGCATGCGAAGCTTTATTGCGTCGGTCCGCCTCGATCTAAAGACCGGCGAAGAGGTAGGGTCAGGTGGGGTAATTCGCGCCACTTTTTTTTACAATTTTATATTTCCATGGAAATTTAAAAAAAAAATCAGGAATGTTTGGTATCATTTTGTAGCTTGTCTTTTTACCTAACTTTTATAGAAGAATTTTTTTTGGTTTGATCCCCTTTGGGGTTCCATATAGCCCTTGGGGCGAAATCAAAAAATGGTGGGGTAATTCGTGCCGGTGAGGTAATTCGCGCCGGCCGCATTTTCAGTGTTTTAAATGTGTTTATCATAAAAAAGTGTTAGTATTAGATTATTACATCCTTCGCTGATGATGTGTCAAAATTTCATGGGATTTGGACCGCTTGAAGCGAAGTTATTACGCTTAAAGTGACACTACCTTTTTTTATTGGTCAACAGGCGAATTTGGCCCAAAATTCGAAAAAATGACTTTGCGCCGATTTTCGTTTATCTAAGAAGTAGTCCACGCATTTTCAAACCCGTGGTACCGTTGGAAAGGTAATTGATGGTGCTACAAAAATACTTAGTCAACCACCCCTTCCGACCCCATTGAGGTCTCCAAAAACACGCTAATTGCCCCTTGCGTTTGTGGCGCGAATTGCCTCACAGCATGTTTTGCTGTTTAAAGCTCGATTCAGCCACAAAAATTGAAAATATTAAAAACAAATTTATATCCATAAGAAAGAGCTGGTGATAAGCTACAAAGTACATCAACCCGTTTTAAAAAAATATTAAACTTTAATGGTCAAAGCTGAAATTCTGTGAGCTCGAAAAATGAACTCAGTACTAGCACAAAACACATTTATGCCTGTAAATTGTCTGTACTCGAATGAAAAATGTCGAGTATACCAACCAAATATGGAGTTTTTAATGCTTTTTCGAATGATACTATAACTATTTGTATATGTATTGCCTGTGTCGAGAAAAGGCCGATGGCGCGAATTACCCTACGGAGCGAATTGCCTCACCTGACCCTAAGTATTTACAAAACGAAAAAAGGAAGAAGAAGAAGAAGAAGAAGAAGAAGAAGAAGAAGAAGAAGTATAATTCACTTTTGTTGCATTTTATTTTCAGACCAACGAGAAGATTTCGTTCAAACAATACCACCAGAAATCGAAGCAAGATGCGCGCAATATAAAAGCCGAACGAATGACACGAGTCTTCACGTATGACGAACAAGCGGACCTCAAGCGTATCGCCGCAGAGATTGGCAAGACACCATCGCCACGGAACATCTCTTGGTGCCAGTACATCGAACATCGCCTGCGAATGTCCCAAGATGGTATCGCGGCATACAGTCAGAAAAACTATGCACGCTTACGTTTGGACAAACACATTGAATGGCGTCGTGCAATTGATCATCGCCGGTAAGCTGGTACATTTTAAGACAGCTATCATCAACAGCCGAAATTTCACCAAATTGCCCGATCCGGATCAAAAAGTACGTGCGGTGTCCAGACGTACGCAAGCTGATTGCAGCCTTCAAAAGACGTGGCAATTGTGTCGTTCGGTTGGTGGATGAATACATGACATCGCAACATTGTGCCCGATGTTTCAAACGGTTCCCGATATGGACGAAGAGCAAACGATACAAGAAGTGCAACGATTGCCAATCAGATGAACGTGTTGGACTTCCGAGAACCATCTATACGAACGTGAGCAAACGAGTGTTACAAATGCAACGGAAAATCATGCGTACATGGAAGGAAATGCGCGACCAAGGATATGCTATTGCAGCCATTCTAACCCAACGAAATTCAGGACGTTTGGTGTCAAAGAAGCAACGCTTCTTCAAATCCTGGCAACCAAATGCTGCTGAAAACGCTGGAACAGAAGACGCTGCACAATCACGCAAGTTGCTCAAATCACTTTGGCATCGGGACATATCAGCAGCCAAACTGATCGTGTACAAAGGTTCATTATCTATTAATATTTCATTTGAAAATTGGATTCGATTTGGTTTTCGCTTAAATTAATTGTTATTTATGTGCTTGTTTTCTATTTACTTAGGTCTTTGCACGCTACTTGGTATTCCGATACATCCAGCACTGCTGCGACGACCAGATGACGACGGCCTTCCACTCAATCCATAATTCAAAATCCAGCGTTTAGCATTAAAGTTTTTTTAATAAATATTTTCTAAAAGTTTATTAGAGTTCTCAAGCCTTGCACTTAGTGGGCTATTTTAAGGTATATAAGTTGTCTAACTTTATTTACCGGAGTACATGGCTGGTTTTATAGACGTTATTTGATGATCAGAATGGGTTATGTTCATTTTCCGGTTTCACAATGTCAAATTGACATCACGCCACCGCATTCTTTGGATATGACTTGTTCAATGCATCATATCACGGTAAGTAGAATTTGTTCAACGCTTCGGAGTGAGAGTTTTTTTTTTTTTTATTTAACACCGCCAAGCTCTGGCTGAATATAATGTGGGTTTTGATTGAGGTTTGGCAGGAAAAGAGTGCAAGACTGTTACATATTTAAAATAATAAACAATTTGTGGCAATAGGTTTCGAACATTTGAATGGAAAAGCAGTCTTTTTGCTTCAGGAGGTGTGAATATCCGTTGTGTGAACACCACTAATTGATACAGAATTCTGTTCTCTTTAATTTAAAATCTACCATTTTTCTTTTTCAGGTTATGAAAAACACCCTATTGTACAATGTAAAAGGTAGTTATAAATGGGCAAAGCGAATTAGAATAAATATTGATGATGACACGTACACACTGTTAATTATTTGATTTGATCATATTCTCTGGACAGTAATTCTAAATTCTATTGGTTTTTTTTTTCAAATATAAAACAAACGCAAATTGCACATTGCAATGATGCGCAAAATAATAATTGACAATGGAGCACCGAAAATACAGATACCAAAAATTCAAATTAAATTTGTCAGTTTTCTCATCACCAGAAAACGCGAAATATGTATTAGTGACGGTTTGAACATACTGTTTCTAATAATAATTGAAAAAATTGATATCTGTCAATCGATTTTATGATAAGAGAAGACAGCGGCTGTCTGACAGCCGAACAAATGAACAATCATTTGTAGAGAGGCGAATTTTTGTTGGCGCTAGGTCATCCAAAGTAAACTTTTATTTGAATCGAGTTTATTGGTTCGAGTTGAAACTTTCAATAAGCAAATAAATTTCTTTTAATTTTGTTGTACTACTTACAGCAGATATTGCCTGTGGTGATTCTCTTGATTGGTTTGCTAACATCGTGTCCTCTACTGGTACAATATAGGTTTCAGCTTGATGATTTCCAGTGGCCGAAAATGATTCATTCGTTGTATAATATTGCTGTTGAGTGCCGGATGCATATTCATTTACGTATACTGGATATGCCCTATAATAATTATAATTTTGAATAGCAAATTTTAAATTAGATTGATACTTCCATTTATCCATTGAAAAGCGGGAATACTTTTCAAATTACCAATTAAACTAAATTAAAATAGAAAAAAATATTGAATTACATTTGAGACTGTCCTTGCGCAGAAGTTGCATACAAGCCGGAATCGACATATTCCACATATGTCCCGTGACCAGTAACATTCTCTTGTTGCGAAACTGAAATTTAAATCAACGAGATTTGTGTAAACTCTTGGTCCATGTTTTAAAATAAAAACTTGAAATATTTCACAGATGCAATACATAACGTTGAACAATTTATACAAGTATTAAATATTGTAGTTATAATAGACTATCTGTTGTACATCCTTATTTGCAACATTTCCTGTAAATCGTATTTCTTGATAAACATACATACCACAATAAGAGGACATATGGTTTTGTCGCCGATACATTTTTCTATTCTACTTTGCACGCTGACTGTTTTCTAATGATCAACAATTTTAAATCTAATCTGATTTATATGCTCAATGAAGTTGATTTAGTCCAAAACTTTTTATTGTCTCTTCGCTTCTCACAAAACTTATTTGGGCAATGACTTTAAAATTGTCGATTTTATATATTTTTTGCTTATTATTTCATTGTTATTTAATGAACTCAAATTATGTTCGATCACTGTGTTAAAATTACTTTTAAATACAAAAGTGAATGAAGTAAGAGCAGAAATGAAAAACAAAAAGAACGTATATATTAAATAACGTTGAGTAAAAGCACAGTTACTAATGGATACAATGCACGCACAATATGTGTAACCTAGAGGAGCAGACGAAAACTGATCTCCTTGTGAAAAAAATCAAATCACCAGAGTAACAGAACCGGAGAAAATCTGTGATGCGAAGAGTTGAAAATAGGAGTAGTTGACGGGTAGTGAAAGTGAAAAAAGATGATATTCCTCTTTGCTAATTTGGTATGTATTATATTAAATCGTTTTGTAGTTGTGTTGTGCAGATTTTGTAAGCCGGATTCACCTAGCAACACAGGTCACGCGATGATGTTATATCATCAACTGATTTCAACTTTCGGCGATGCCTTAGCAATATGGCTTTTTCTGTTGCCATTCTATATTTCTTCAACAAATTAATAGGTCTCTCAGATGTTCGGTATACATACGCATTATGGTGGCGTGCATCGTTGCTTATTATTGGTATTATTATAGAATGTTGTTAATGGTAAAAATAATAATAGTCGCTATTTAAGGGAAAAAACGCCTGTGTCTACCATACATTGTAAGTGTGTAAAAGAGAAAAACAAAAAAAAAACAGTGAGACGGAAATATTGGAAAAGGAAAGCCAGGTAGGTGTGGGAAATACAAAACGAATATTTATTTTTATATTATTGAGTGATGCTTCGACATAGTAGCGAGAGCCAAAATAATGTGGAAACGAAGTAAAGAGAGCCTCTCATTTTTATGAAAATTTGAATTATTTCAAAGATTTTGTAAATACATTTCATCTAATCAACTATCAAAATCACGAAAAATATGCCCAGAAATGTTTGGTACATTTAATATTGTTACCGTGTGACAGGTGAAAGTGATCCACCTACTCAACAAAGTTCACAACTTATCATTTGTCATTCGACGTATTACAATATTTGGATAGATTACAATATCGAACCAGGGACCGAGATGCTGTGCGCGTCACATTATATATGTACTACGGAGCACAGGTTGGAAAGAAATACAGTATAGTCGCGTCTTTTTTGCGTTTCCGCTTTTGTGTAGCTCAATGATGAATAAAAAAGGGGGTGGTGTTAATATTTGGCAACACCCCGCTCTTAAAGAATAGCGAATCAAATTCTCTCTGCATGGCAATAAACATAATTCCGCACAAATTTACTTTGTGAACAATGATTTCTACAGATCAGTACAGTCTACGTATTACTTGCTACCATTGTCGAAAACCTGGTTTTTAATTCAATTGGTTTTTGTCCGGAAAAGTATGCAATTTTGTGTGTTACCAAAAAATTATTAAAATTCGTATGAACCGAAAACTTTTGAAAATTTCCCATCATATTAGATGAAGTGATTAGCATTTCTATTTAACTTATTGTGTGTACAGTGTACCTATCAAATTGCAGTGCAAATGCAGAACAATTTGCATCAATGAGAAATCTCTATCTCCTCTTGAGAATAAATCACTTCTTATTCTGATACAGAATATAAAAATACAAAATTATTCTAATTTCCCGAAAAAGTTTAATCTATAGCGGTAGATCTAAATTGTGTAAATGATAACTGGTGTTAGTTGCCGAAGAGGTTCGCAAATCAGAAAAAGAAATAATATATTCGCTAATAATTTTCAATAAACTCATAGTGAAATTTGGTTTATTTTAAAACAGATTTATTCATAGGTTAATAAAAATGATAACGGCCCAATTATCTTGTGAATTATTGTTGATACGATAAAAAAAATCACCACTTTATTACTATTGGATTTTGGACTATTTGGCCTTCCATGAAATTATGAGTCCGAGCGTTTATACAAAGCTCTGTCAGCGGTTAATATTCTTAAACCAAAATTGTGAAAAATCTATTTCTCACTGTACAATACCACTGTGTGCACCTGCGAATGTAAACAAAATATTTGATACCAATATAAACTAATCAGAACACAACGCAATCTTTTTCATCTACTTTCTTACTGTTTGTTGTGTTTATCAACCGAATAAGTAGATAAATAATTCGTTTGATGTTTACATCGACGTTTCTATAAGTATTACAAACAATATTTCCCCTTTGTAATAATCAAAATCGTTTATTTGTTGATTTCTATCTAATTTTTCATCTAGTTTTTGTTACCTTTTATTTGATGATGATACAAAAATTGGAGAAATAAAATTTACCCTAATGTTCGATATTGTATTTGCAATGGTATACTCATGTTGAATAGGACAAAGATTTACAAAATACAATCTGAATACTAGGAGAATGAAAACTTTACGAGAAATTCCAATAACTTCTAATTAGAGCGGATTAATTTGTAAACAAACCAGTAGGGGTGCTGGTAAAATATATGTAAGGTATTTAGCTTTGTGTAGTTTTGCGAGGGTATTTTTTTCCACGTGTGCAGACACATTTCCCATTACCCTTGATCTGTATCTTTGATTATGTATCAAACATATAACCGTATACAATGTTTCACCTTTGATTCTTAATGAGGACGCATCAATCGAAATCAAACGTGTCAGCTCCCATACCCTTGATATATTATTTTTCATTTCATTTATTCAATAGCGTATTATGTCCGACGATATTTAAGGTGCTTTTTCATAACCAATAAACTACAGAAGTGTAGATAGATACAAATTAATTTAATACGCATTGTTGTCACGGGCTTCGCGCACCGACAGACGTCATCATTAAAAGTGATACTGCTAGGGTGATTATATGATAGGTTTTGTGCCAGCAAAACAGAACAATTTCGTGAAGATTTAACATGCATACCAACGAGTTTTTAGTTAATACGACAAAGCATATCGAAAAAATATGTTGAGAGTCGGGAGTAATTTTATACGCAGTAAAATGTGTAGTGATATTAAGCATGAATGCATATATAAATATATATATGTATATATATAAATTTATCTTTTTATTTATATATTTAAATAGGGATACATCCTTCATACTCCATCCATTCGGGATTTCGGGATATTTATTATACTAAGAACTTTGATAAAAATGATTTTTATTCATTAAATTCAGATAATCAATACATGATAGGGTACATTAAGTCTTACACAAAAGTTAAAACAAATTTAAAACGTTGCAAACAGGTGCACGTATTTTAAGTCAGTGAATAAATTTGGCGATATTTCAACACTGCACTTTTTTCACAATTTTTTTCCAAGATCCAAAAAGATGACACCTGTATGCAAGTGAATCAACTAGTGCACAATTTTGTCGATATTTATTTATTTATTTATTTTATTAAACACCGCCAAGCTCTGGCTGAATATAATGTGGGTTTTGTTAGAGGTTTGGCCGAAAAAGAGTGCAAGACTGTTACAATTTTTATAAATAATGAACAATAGTAGCAGTAACTTTCGATAACTTTCAGTTCTCGCCTCGTTAAAAACCTGGCTCTTTTCGTAAATTATGAGGTAATCACAATAGTAGGAACATGAAAACGAAAGCAGTCATACAACCAAGATGGAAATGCTTATAGTATTCTATAGTAAACGGTCCAGGATAACCTTTGGTAAACGTTTGCAAAGGGACAAAGACTATGCGAAACGTTAACTGTTACGCGTTAAATTTAAGACTTTGAGACTGCAAATTTGTGTGTAAATATCCACAAGGAAAGTCATATAATGTCACAATTATCGATTTTGTGAAGATCTATGGAAATTTAAATTTTTTTTATCGTTTTGGCACTATATGACCTACTTTGTGAACGATCTCTCTAAAGAGAAGACAATCATGAGTATATTCAGAAAAGTGCTCGTAGTGGCCATAGGCGTGGAACCAAGACGACGTGGCTCTATCTAATGCAACTGCTCCGACTTTTGTTTGTTAATCAAAATGGTCACCTAATTGTAGAATCATCAAGAGGTGAAATGGGCGACAAACATTTCGAAATACTCATTATTAAGCTTCCCACTACCGCTTCCACTCCCTAAACGCGAATTTCCCGATTTTTGCCATGATCCCCAACCGATTTATTGGGATAAGTTTTGAAATGAATTTTACTCAATTTTCAGTTAATTTTCCTCTATATTTCTAATTTTCCCGCTTTACAGACCAGAAACGAGACGGGTGCTACACACGGTTATAACCCCGAAATGATGGTATGCAAAATACGAAGTGAAAAATTTGAAATCTTTGAACTTGAACTAAGTTTTTCGGTTACAAAACTTTTGGAACTTCCAGATTTTGATTATTTCGATTATTTTTTGAGTTATCGTGTTAACTCACACCAAGGACGACAACGACGAAGAGACACGAACGGAGAAACGTATTTTCTAAGCGTTTCATGAGTTTTCATGAAGATCCAAACTAATTTTGCAAAAAAAAAAATTCTGAAACTAATTTCTATACCTTGCCGTAGAACCATATGTACGGAAAAGTAATATTTCATGATATTTCGTGATCACCCTAAGAGCTTTCATCCCGTCAGGAAAGAACGGGATATTTTCAAAAATCCCAGTTTTCACTTGCT